ATGGTCTCTGAGCCAGGGGAGAGGTAACATAAAATGCGAGGGGTGACACCAGGGTACAATCCGAGCCAATTACAGGCACCAAAGGCTGATGTACAAGATTAACATCGCTACTACTCATTTTATACCCTCCACGGTACCTCAGCTTTACTGTCCCATTTTACACATAAGGAAATGGAACTTAAAGAACTAAAAAAGTAACCTATACTAGCCGAAACCGGTTTGGCTCAATGGATAGAGCCTCAGCCTGTGGACTGAAGGGTCCTGGGTTTGATTCCTGTCAAGGGCATGTACCTTGGTTGTGGGCACATCCCCAGTAGGGGGCGTGCAAGAAGCAGCTGATCGATGACTCTCTCATTGATGTTTCTAACTCTATCTTTCTCCTTTCCTCTCTATAAAAAAAAAAAAAATCAATAAAATATATATTTTTTTTAAAAAGTAACCTATACTAAATACCAAAATGCTGTTCCTCCCAATCCTTACTGCTGTATCCCAAACCAGACGGGAGTCAGTATTTTCTTTAGACTAAAGTGAAAATGCTCCTTTCACTATTCTCTGGCTGAGGTTATCTATCACAAGCTTTATTCATAGATATGGAGGCAAAACAAGTGGTTATATCTTCAGGAGTAAATGTTTTACTGTTTTGTTTTTAGTATCTGTCCTGATTGATGGGGGAAGGGAAAGGAAGATAGGCCCTTCTCTAGAGGCTCTTGGAGAGTATTACCAGAGGACATTTCAGGTGTAATGACCTTTAAGATGTTTTATTCTAAAAGCAGAACTCAAGCACATTGTTTTGAAGAAGGGATTCTGAAGCTCACTATTATTTTGCCTTGCCCAATCAGAGAGGCTGAGGGTGGGGAGCCCACTGCAAGATGAAACTCTATGGTCCGTGGTAAGAACTTTAATCCCCTGCTGCCACTAGACTCCCTGAATGGTAATGACCAGTCTTACACTCCACAGGCAAGAGACTGGAGAATGTCCTCATTGACAAAGCTAAGTACACACACACACACACACACACACACACAGTCTATAGGAACTGACATGTGGGCATCACCCCATGATAAAGTTGGTTTCCACCTGGATACCTAACACTGAAGCTCATATAGAGCTTCTCATCTGCAATTCTGTGCCTTAATCTTCAGCATGGATGGATACCAACGACAACTGAATGTTTAAGAAAAGTCTCTAGTGAGGAAAATGAGACCAAAACAAGTAGAAGAAGTAATTAGGAATGTGGGGGGAGGGAGGATATAGCGAAAACTCCAAAAATACTACCAATACTAATAATACTAATAATTAACATTGTAAGAGAAATGAGAATATATTGCAACCATAAAATACAAACAGGATACAATTTTTTAAGTAAAATTTAAGACTCTTGAGAAAAATTTTAAGTGATAAAAATAAAATGTCTAATTTTAAAAACTGAATATGAAATCAAGTAACTCTCCCAAAGGATAGACTTTAAAAAGTGAGATGAAATATAGAAGAAAAATCTAACAATATTGTTCAGTCCAAGAGATCCAATATCTGATTATCAATTGTACCAGAAAAACACAACAAAGATAACAAATGAAAAATTATAAAAAATACAAGACAATTTCCAGATTGAGTTTCTACATCAGAAGAGCTCTCAAGATGACTAGCGCAACAATAAAAATATACTCATTTTCAAAGTTTCAAACTTTAGATTATCAGAGATAAAGAAATCTAAAAACTTCTAGAAGCAAACAAAAACAGTTCTACATAAGAAAGCAGAAATTAGCCGAAACCGGTTTGGCTCAGTGGATAGAGTGTCGGCCTGCGGACTGAAGGGTCCCAGGTTCGATTCTGGTCAAGGGTATGTACCTTGGTTGCAGACACATCCCCAGTAGGGGGTGTGCAAGAGGCAGCTGATGGATAATTCTCTTTCATCGATGTTTCTAACTCTCTATCCCTCTCTCTTCCTCTCTGTAAAAAATCAATAAAATACATATTTTAAAAAAAAAAAAAAAACAAAGGAAGAAAGAAAGAAAGAAGAAATTAAAATGTAACTACAGTTCAAAACAAAATTACTAAAAGCTCAAAGATAATGAAGCAATGACTTCAAAAATTTGGGGGGGGGAAAGATTTCCAACTTAGCCTTCTAATAAACACGACCAACTATCAAGTACTGTGAAGATAAATTTCTTATATTTGCATATTTACAAGTTTTCAAAATGTCATTTCCCACACATCCACCCTCAGGAATCTATTGAAAAAAGTGTTTCACCAAAAGTGTAAGTCAAAAAGAAAATAAGAAGTATGGGTTTAACAGAAAGGGTTCCATAATTAATCCAGAAAAAAAGATGAGAGAAATATCTAAAATACCTAGAAGACAGATGAAGGTGATTCCTAGAAGATAATAAAAGGAAGTTCCAGGTCCAAAGAATGACCGAACAAGATCAGGGAAATAAGAAAATGGCTCTAGGAGTGCTTCGAAAAATATCGAATAATAACAGAAATAATAAACAGTGGGGATAGATTACCTAATGAATATGACTATATTTATTTAAAAGGTATTCAAGTACATAAGAGTGTTTGTATATGACTGAGAGGAAAGTAAACAGAAAACAAAGAAACATGAGGTAATTATTAACTCTAAGGCAAACAGAAAGTTGCACAAGAAAGGAAAAACAATTTTAGTACAAATGAGGTTCAGCTTTGAACAATATTTCCATAATATAATCATATAAGCACTGAATACTGAGTTAACAAAAATACTTTGGGAAGGCAGAGGAAGGCAAATATGTAGTCGTGAGCCAGGGGTCATCATAGAATCATGTAAGAGAGCTATAGCCTCCTCCACTAGGTTAGAAACCAACAGGTAATATAGAAAGATGAAAAATTAGAAAACACCAGTAAAAGCACATTATTCGGGAAAATATAGGTAAACAAGCAAGAGAAATAAGCAAAAGTTTACAAGTATTAATTCTGAGGAGTAGGAAATAGGAATAGGAAGGGCGGGGCAAAGGATTCTATTTTTCACATAAAACTTACAGTAATATTTGAGCTTTAACATTATATAGATGTATTACTTTGATATAAAATAATTTAAAAACACAGTAGAAAAATATTTATAAGTATAATAACTAGAGGCCTGGAGCATGAAAATTCATGCACTGGAGAGGGGTCCCTCAGCCTAGGCTGTCCCCTCTCACAATCCAGAAGCCCTCAGGGGTAGGAGGTGACCTGGCGATCAGGGGAAGGTGACACCCCATCACATCTCTGCTGCTGCCTCTGCCAACAGTACAAGCCTCTGGTAGCCCTGTTACCTGAGCCTCAGGTGGCCCTAAGTGCCTGGGCAGCCATCATCAAGGCTTGCCTGTGCCTTGGGCCGGCCCTCGGTGGCTGGGGGCTGAGGGGACTCGGGTACTCTGGAGGCAGGCGCATAGAGTGGCCAGGCCCACCTGGGGGCAGGCCTGGCCTTGCCATGCGCCTGCCGCCCCAGTAGGGCTGAGGGGACTAGGCACCACTATCTTGTGGCTATGGACACCACCATCTTTGAGGGCAGGGAAGTCAATTTGCATATTCCCTCCTTATTGGCTGTGGGCACCTCATGAAGGTCAATTAGCACATTTCCTCTTTATTATATAGAATGCTAGACTGATCGAGGTGATCACTTCCTAGGTTACTATATAAATGTCTAGTCACTATGTTGTACACCTGAAACTAATGTAATAGTATATGTCAATTATTATTGAAAAAATGTTTTAATTACTTTTAAAAATTAAATTATATAATTTACAATTAAATAAATTATATTTAAAAACAATTAAATATAATTTAATATATTTAAATATAATTAAATATAATTTAATAATAAAATAAAATTAATATGTGAAATCCAATTCATTTAATAATATCTACACTAATAATAGACAAATGTGTAAATTGACCATACCTCTGTAATGCCCCACAGCCAATAAGGAGTGAATATGCAAATTAACCCAACAAAGATGGTGGGCCTGTGGAGGTATGCGGGCGTCAAGCAGCCAGGGACAGGGTGGGCGTCCCCAGGACCCCGCCCACTTTGAGCCTGTGGCCAAGCAGCTGGGATCCCTGGCATACCACTGGAGTATCCAGTTCTTGACAGCCTGGCCTGGGGGCAGCTGGAGTTCACAGTCCTTTTTGTTTGTGCAGCCCCTAAACCAGAAGCAGGTACCAAGAATGCAGGGAGCACCAGGAATGCTGTGAATCATAGTTCTGGTGGCAGATGCGTTGCGGGATCTCCTAGACACTAGAGCAAAGTGAGCCTGGAGCAAGTTTCTATTGCAGTTGGGAGATGGAGGGAAAGCAAAGGGGAGAGACTTAAGTAAAGTCACAGTGTGGAGAAAAAATTAAAGGGAAGATATTCTGCAACTTCTAGGAAATCTCCACCAATGGAGCAAAGAAAAAAATAAGACCTCTATTATTCTGTGAGCACCAAACCAAACTGAGTTGGGGTCTCAGACAATTCACACATATGATTGTAAAGGCAGACAGAAACTCCCAGATTGGAGAGGGCTCTCCTGATAGCTCCCAGATTGAAGAGGATGCAAGTCAAGCTGAGAGACTCACCCCCCTGCCCGCCCCAGTGCACAAATCTTTGTGCACCAGGCCTCTAGTAAATATAATAAGTCCTCAAATGACATCATTTTGTTCAACATCATTTCACTGTTAAATGCCGTAGGAATTTAACTCCTGTTTTTATCAATTAACCTACGGGAAAATGGATTCATTATAATACATCATTTCACTTAAGTCACATAACTTAATGACAATGTTAGCAAGAACTTACTGTACACACAGACACACACACACACACACACACACACACACACACACACGCATTTGAATGTCTATAGCTGTTACTCATGATTATCCCTAGGTAGTGGAGTTATAGGAATTTTATTGGTTTCTTCTTTTCCTAACAAGACCCATACCATTATTTTAATAATCAATAAACTTTTTTCACAACACCATTTCAAATATTTGCTTACCTTAGCTGATTTTTTAATTGTTAAGCCTCCATTCAGTTTAAAAAGCACCGTCATGTTGTACCCTGTCTGGTTTCCATGTCCATGAGGCCACCAAGTTTCTACAGTAATTGTCTTTTAAGAAAAAATAGAAGTTATCCTAAGTTATCTGTAGCATATTTTCAGCAAAATAATATACTGATTTAGAGCATTTGTATCTATTTCTCATAGAAATTCTAGATTCTAAACATATAAATCTCCCTCTCTGTAATAGGCCGAATTATATCAATACCTAGGTGATAGTTACAAATCAACATGTTAGGAGTGTTACCTGGATTAGTATGCCAAAGGGGAAGGGGAATTAAAAAAAAAACACACAGGAAAACATGGAAATTCAGTAAACAACTCTTCCCATTTCTATCACTCAAGCTCACATTCCTTCCACATTCTTTAACATTTAGAATTGGACTTTGAGGCTGACTCTTGTTTTAAGCCCAAAACAAAAACAAAAAAATTGTTTTGTGTTCTTACTTTATCTGAAGAGTTACTGAATGCTGATTTGCTCTATCCTTTTCTATTCACAATGATCTAGTAGAGGAATTTTTAAAAAGGAAAAAGAAAAGGTAAAATCTAGCCTACATCTACCCATGAAAGATTACGGAATTAGAATTCTGCATGTAAAACAAGCACAAATACTCAAAATAATTTACAATTACTAAAAAAATAATCACTACATTTAAATATAATGCTTACCATGTACTTTGGATTTAGAATACTGCAAAAAATTAAAATACAACACACCTGACTTCTTGGGGGGGAAAAAAAAAAAAGAATGCCAAGGTTAGCACATATTTTCCATTTCTAGGGAAATCAAAATCTGGCGAAATCATTCCATAGCTTGCACATAAACAAAATATATGAGAGGTTAAAAGTAAAGGAGAAAACTAAAAAAGTACAATTTTCTTTAACTCAGACCCTTCTTTCTAACCATTTCTTTTGAATAATACTGCTTTTTATCTCATGCTTCTCAGGGAGTGCCATCATTCACCTTGTTAATTTTCACAGAGAGCATAATAATCCTTTTCCCAGGCCGAAGTTTAACGTTGTATGTCCACTGTGTTTGCAATTTAGGTATTTCTATGATCACTTGACCAGGGACTGGCTTTGAGCTGATAACATCAAAAGAAGACTCTATTTTGAGTTTCCACTGCTGGGCATAGTTGTCTAAGGCAGAAAAAGAAGAAGGAAGAAAAAATGTATATATAAAATATGCTTGCCGAAACAGGTTTGGCTCAGTGGATAGAGTGTCAGCCTGCGGACTGAAAGGTCCCAGGTTCGATTCCAGTCAAGGGCATGTACCTTGGTTGTGGGCACATCCCCAGTGGTGGGGTGTGCAGGAGACAGCTGATCGATGTTTCTCTCTCATCGATGTTTCTAGCTCTCTATCTCTATCCTTCTCCCTTCCTCTCTGTAAAAAAAAAAAAATTAATCACATGTATTTTTTAAAAAGATGCTAAGCATTATCCCTGTGCTCCTTAGGGTTCACTTAAGACAAGACCAAAGCAGCCCCTAAAATAGTAAGTGCTCCACAAATGCTGCCATGATACCGAAGTTCAGTGGAAATTCTCTTTTCATCTTCAGTTTAACCCTTTATTCTAGAGAAGAATAACTAAAAGTATACATTTTACACATACTCTACTCTAAAAATATTAAAGATACAAAGAGAGAGCAGGGGGGAGGAGGAGCTGTGAGCAGCTCTGCAGGGCGAAGCTAATCATAAGCCATAAAAATATGCATAAATAGGGCACAAATAGAAAATTGCAAATGAAAAGACAGCATAAATCTTCCAAGGTTGATCTACCTTTGTTCCTTTTATAAAGTAAAAATTCTGAGTGTTTTAAGCCACATTAAAAAAAAAAAAAGGTATAAACTTAGGTGTATTTGAAGTAATCAAACATTAAAAAATAGAAATATATTTTAAGTGTAGATCATCTATCCAAAGGAATATTTATGAAGAACCTTCTATGTGCCATGCACTTTGCGGAATGATGGGAGTGAAATGGTGGACCAGGATGAACTTGGCCCTCCCCTCATGAGTTTAGTCTAAAGGAAGTGCGATAATACTAGGATGGGAGAAGTAAAAGGTTATTCTGAGAAGATAGTCACAGGAAAGAACACCTGACTTACAGTGGGTGAGGGGAAGGTCTTTCTGGGAAAGCAGTATCTCGCTGAGCCCAGCAGGATGCTGTAGTGGATAAGTTCAGAGGAAAACAACACATATTCTGGGCATGGCAAACGCAAGTGTATAGAGCCATGTGAGCGTGAGCTTAGGCAACCATGACATTGAGAAGGGAGAGCAGCACAGCAGAGGAGGCGAGCAGGATTGGGCTTGTGCTGGGTCCTGTGAGGAGCCTGGCAACTTCACACCAGCTCTTGATTCCAATGATTACAGGCTGTTGCTGTTCCTTGTGGTTAAGCCCCTGACCCAGTGTTCGGCAAACTCATTAGTCAACGGAGCGGCAAACCGTGGCTCACTAGATCAATGGGGAGCCATTGAAGATTTTCATCGGAAAGAGTAACATTCTCAGATTTGCTCAGGAGGGGCCCCAACACAGCAGTATTACCAGGATGCCAATGGAAGAAGCAGAGACACGTGAAATTTCTACCTTTGGGAAAAGGAAAGTGCCATGTGGGAAATCCAGGAACGGGGGGGGGGGGGGGGGGGGGGAAGATGGAGGAAACAAGGATGAAGGGGACTGAAGGGGAAAGTTATGGGGAGAAAAGATGAGACAGCTGCCTAGGAAATGGAATTTGGGACTGGAGTTTGGGAATGGGGCAGCATGTTACAAGGGGTTTGTGAAGTCGTGTTTTAAGTTAAGTATGGACACTATAATCCCTTGCTCCCTCACCCACTTAATTTACATTGTTTGTTTCCTATCTCCGGGATTGGATGTGTGCGTGAGTTCGGGGTTTTAAATGCCAACGTAGAAAAGTGGACCCATGCTTTTGAGGTTGCCCAGGAGAAAGCAGTGATAAAAGTACCAAAAAGGCAGGATGGGCAGGGTGTCAGAACCACCAGTGAACGTTCTCACTCTGCAGCCACAGAAAGGAGGCGCTGATGCACTTAAGTTTGTATGACTCTTGGCAAGAAATTAAGGTAGTGCCTATTAAGTGACTTCTGTTTTTCTTACTGAAGAAGAGGTGGGAGAAGGTTATCTGCTGAAAAATATCATAGGGACCCTTCTCCAACACATAGCAAGGGGGCTGATAACTTTCCAATTTCATCCACACAAGTTGAAGGCTTTACAACCGGCATTCCTTCTGAATGTAGAACCACATCAGACGTGTTCTAAGGATGACCACACCACATCTCATCACTTGTATCTCACAACCAGCCAAAAGTACAGATGGATTTGATCCACACTGAAGAAAACCTAATCCCGGACTTAAGAAGTATTTTTACTTATTGACTCACTCTTAGGACACAAGTCAATAAGCCTTGAATTAGGTTTCCTGGCCCAGACAAGTTTGCAGCTTATCCACCAGCAGACTCCACGTTTTCCTAAAACACAGCAAAATATATCAAGACAACTACACTTCTTAGTTAAAGATGCTTTTCTCCTAGTAAGTATATATAAGTAAGTCTCTCAGTTTTCCCTTCATGGCATTTTTATTGTTTTTAAACAGAAGCACACACTCCAATCTGACCCAAACTGAATCAGCCAGCACCTTGAACTTGGACTTCTCAGCTTGCAGAACTATGAGAAATCCACTTCTGTTGCTGAAGTCCCCCAGTCCCTCGTACTTTGTATAGCGACCCCAGCAAGCTAAGACAACGGCCATGCTCATTTGTTTACATGTTTTCTCTGGTGGCCTGGGCACACCAATGGCAGGGTTGAGTAGTTGCAACAAAGGCCATGTGACCCAAAGAGCCTGAGATATCTATAACCTGACTCTTTACAGAAAGGTTCGCTGCCCTGGCCAGTGTGGCTCTGTTGGTTCGGTGTTGTCCCGTACACTGAAAGGTTGCTGGTTCGATATCTGGTCAGGGCACACGTAGAAAAGTGGACCCATGCTTTTGAGGTTGCCCAGGAGGGGAACCCAGCAGGCACCATCTCCAGTGGGGGACTGTGCAGGAGGCAGCCAATTGATGCTATGCCTTGGTATCAATGTTTCTCTCGCTCCTTTCCTCTTTCTCTAAAAAAATCAATATTCTTTTTTTTTTAATTTGCTGATCCTTATTCAAGAATATTTCCCCCAAAAGATCATTCTAATCTTTCTTTAATATCTATGACAAAAACCTCTGCCTGACAAAACAGGCTTCCCTTCTTGCTAGCCTTGGCTATGATAGTCATTCATTACTCTGATTTGAAATCCACTTTTAATTTCCACCTGAAGATTTAAGGTCTGCCCTCTAGGCACCTCCTACCAGCCGGCAACCATCAAGGGCAAGCAGGTTCCTCTGCTGCTTCCATCACTTCCGCGGTGCAGAATGAGCAGCCTGTAAGGGCCTCTGAACAAAAGGGTGCAATCCCCAAAGAGCTGGCAAAATTCCACGCCTTCTACCATGGAGTGTTCTAAAGTAAGTCGGCACTCCTCTGGAGCTCATCCTGCTACCTCCCTGCACTGCCACGAAGGCTGTGGAATTAAAAACTCAATGTGAAGATTCACAAGCCTATTGTGTCATCATCTCATTCACCTTGCCAACATACTTTTCCCTCTCCTCTTCTTCCAAAAAGCACTCTACTCTTTCTTCCAGAAGCCATGGAGAATTCAAGTCGTTTAGGTTCACAAAGCACATGTAGCGTCTTCAAAAATCAATAAGTTTCCTGGTATTATCTGTTTACTTGCTAATTTTAAACTAAATAAAATCATGCTTCCTGCCCTAGCTGGTTTGGCTCAGTGGATAGAGTGTCAGCCTGAGGACTGAAAGGTCCTGGGTTTGATTCTAGACAAGGGCATATGCCCGAACTATGGGCTTGATCCCCAGTAGGGGGTGTGCAGGAAGCAGCTGATCAATGATTCTCTCTCATCGTTGATGTTTCTATCTCTCTCCCTCTCCCTTCCTCTCTGAAATCAATAAAAATATTTGTTTAAAAATTATTTTTTTAATCATATTTGCTAGTTAATGAGAGAAGCCCAATAAACGATGAGCCATTTCCAGAATAGAGCTTCCTATCCGATCTCTCTTTAAGAATACCCCAGCGCTCAGGAAGTGGAACACAAGGTCATTTCAAAAAATGGGAAAAGTACTAGGCGAGGAGAGAGGAAAGAAGAAAGACTCTTAAATGGCATCTGGGGCTTAAGAACTGGCAGAGAAATGGAAGAACATTCAGGTCAGCCTGGGATGGATCTGCAAACGTTGGTAGATTGCTTATGTAGGATAAAAAAGAAGGCGCTTCATCTCGTTGGGGCGAAAAGCTCTTTTTTCAGAGACAGCTGCCTTGATTAGCTTCGCCCTGCAGAGCTGCTCACAGCTCCTCCTCTTGCCTGCTCTCTTCTTGCACCTTCAGTGGATGATGAAAAGCCATAGTGAGTGAAACGGCAGTCCTGCACACGGGGAGACACAGTGACACAGCAAGCTGAAAGGACCGAGCAGCAGAATGCTTACACTCCCACTGAGGAGAGGCTCCTGGGCTCCTGCTGGCATGAGAGCACAGACTTCAGCAGCTGCCTTTCAGAGCGCTCACAGCTTAGCTTGCATTAGCCAGAAAAGCAGGTCCATGCGCTTCCCCTTCTTCACTGAGCAGTCAGGATCTCCTTGCCTGCTCAGCAGGACGGAATCCTCCAAGATGAAATCCACCAGGCAAAACAGACACAGAACAAAACCCTCCCCCCAAAAAACAAAGATACATCGCTAAATTCCAGGGCAGGGGAAAAAATATTTATGCTACAAGGCAGCTCATCAGAGGGGGAGATGATTCAAGCAACCTACTTACCCATGAAGGTATTGTCAAAGGCGAACAGTGTCATTTTTATGAGTAAAGTAATTCAATGATGAATGAAAAAGTGAATGCAAGAAAGACAAATGATTCAAAGTGAATGCAAGAAAGAAAAATGAATGCATCCAACAGGGCACTAAGCAAGACAGGCAAATCTCTGCTCTTTTGTGGAATTATGTTCCCTGTAGTAAGGTCTAAGCAAAGGGCAGCACTGACCTTCGATACAGGCTTCTATTGTGCAGCCAGGGTAGAGCTGAAAGTGAGGCTCGCTCTTCAACTCAAGGCTAAGTCAGAGAAGGGAGGAGGGGTGCTTTAGGCTGAGGCGGCCGTCAATTTGAAGAGGGCGAGGAAGGCAGGGTCTGGGAGATGTTCAAGCACAGCTGAAGAGGATTCACATGCTGAAAACATCTCTATACTATATTTTCTGACTGTGGTAACAAAAGATTAAACAATGTAGCATTTCATCAGAACATCTATGATAATAAAAGCAAAATATGCTCATTAGACCACAAGACCTTCCAGATGACCACGCTATGACACTCATTGGTGCCAACCCAGCCAAGGCGGGTGCGATGCAATTGGTCGGGGCCCGGCCACTGCCCCATAATCACCCCGCAGAGGGAGGCCCAGGCCACTGGCCAGTGGGGTAATCAATCAGGGGGGCTCCACGATCGCCCGAAGAGAGAGGCCCACCCCACCCTTGTCCCTAAGGGCAAAGAACAATAGAACCTTACTGGGTTTCCATGCCCGGTAAAAAGCATCTGCCCAGGGTCAATCTTTCACTGTTTGCAATACTGAAAACATAGGTGCCCTAAAACAGCTACTGCTATTTAAAACCTGGTTAGAATATTTCAGGGATAAGGATGAATCATTCAAATAAATATTCTCTAAAGAGGTCTTTAAAAAAGTCACATCAATGAATCAGTACTCTTAATACCAAGAAAAGTCACAAGAGCTAAGACAGTGGTTGGCAAACTCATTCATTAGTCAACAGAGCCAAATATCAACAGTACAACGATTAAAATTTTTTTTGAGAGACAAATTTTTAAAACTTAAACTTCTTCTAACATCACTTGTTCAAAATAGACTCGCCCAGGCCATGGTATTTTGTGGAAGAGCCCCAATCAAGGGGCCAAAGAGCTGCATGTGGCGAGAACTACAATTTACCAACCATGGATCATACTTCAATTTTTTAAATTGAAATCTATAAAATTAATCAGAAATATAAGAATCACTACTTAATATGCACAGGGCACATCTTTTGAACAGGAACCATATTTTCTCTATATAAACTGCAGTCATAAAACATTAGAAATATAGTTGCTATGAGAAACTGATTATATGACTTTAATTAAATTGTAAGCATCATTAAATTAATTGATTTAATTCCAATAAAATTCACCGAGTCACTAGTGACTAACTCATATTCAGAAAGAAATGTTTAGCCTCATATTTTAAAATGTTAAACTAAAATAATGTTATTCAAATTTTTTCAGGTATCAGGGTCTCTGGAACTCAGTACTTTTTGCTAACCACCTCAAACACTGATTAAGCTTCAAAACTATTTAATAAAATACCTTTTTACCAAATCAGACCCCTTCTTAAACTAGACCTTATTATACACAGGGTGGGACAAAAGTGGTTTACAATTGTTAGTATGGAAAATAATACAATCTACACTAATAAAAGAGAAACATGGAAATTGACCGTACCTCTGCTATGCCACCAGTCATGCTCACCAGCCAATCAGGAGCAAGTATGCAAATTAACCCAACCAAGATGACTATGACCACGGAGTGAGCAGGAGGCTTGGGTTTTCCTGGCAATGGAGGAAGCCAAGCTTCCCACCCGCTCTGGCTGGCCCTGGCTACAAAGTTTCAATTTTAGAAGATAAATAAATCTCAGATACCAGGGCCTCCACTTCAGTTGCTGGGGGTGCTGGCCTACAAACCACCACAGGCCCCTCACCCAGACTGCCCCATGCTCCAAAGGAACCCCCACCCTGATTGGGGACACCCTTCAGGGCAAACCAGCCAGCCCCTACCTGTGCCTCTATCCTATCTAATAAAGTAGTAATATACAAATTGACCATCACTCTAACACACAAGGTGGCTGCTGCCATGTGGTCAAAGATGGCTGCCCCCATGTGGACACAATATGGCTGCCACAAGATGGCCAGCAGGAGAGGAAAGTTGGGAGGGACCAGGCCAGCAGAGGAGGAAATTTGGAGGCAACTGGACCTGCAGAGAGGGCATTTAGGGGCAATCAGGCTGGCAGGGAAGCAGTTAGGCATCAATCAGGCTGGCAGGGGAGTGGTTAGAGGGTGATCAGTCTGGCAGGCAAAAGCGGTTAGGGGCAATCAGGAAGGCAGGCAAGCGAGCAGTTGGGAGCCAGCAGTCCTGGAGTGTGGGAGTGATGTCCCACTGCCTGTTTAGGCCCTATCCTACCGGTAGAATCACACCTAAACAGGCAGTAGGACATTCCTCAACGGGTACCAGATTGGAGAGGGTGCAGGCTGGGCTGAGGGTCAAACACCCCCGTGCACAAATTTTGTGCACCGGGCCTCTAGTAATTAATAAATAATAAACAAGAATAATTGTTTTAGTCTAAAACAGTTTGGCTCAGTGGATAGAGCGTCGATCTGCAGACTGAAAAGTCCCAAGTTCGATTCTGGTCAAGAGCATGTACCTTGGTTGCGGACACATCCCCAGCGTGGGGGGTGCAAGAGGCAGCTGGTCGATGTTTCTCTCTCATCGATGTTTCGTGCTCTCTATCCCTCTCCCTTCCTCTCTGTAAAAAAATCAATAAAGTATATTTTTTTTTAAAAAAGAAAGAAAGGATAACTGTTTTGGGTACTCACAACTATAAACCTCCTTTACTCTACCCTGTAAACTGAGAAAAACTGTGAATAGGGATGGGGAAAACTGAATTATTATTTGAATTTAGTAGCCTGACTCTGAAGAATAGTTTGAGAAGCCCTAGAGAGCTAAAACAGCCACATTTATAGGTGCACATTAAATGAGATCTTTTAATACCTTTTTAACTTTAAAAAATACCAGCAGCACCAAATGACCTCCTCAAATATCAACTATTTCTGACTTTAGGAAACACAGATTTGGTTCCACTGAACAGCAGGTTCGATTGAACAGCAACCTAGACTTGCCAGAACCTAAAAATAGCAGGACTCCTGTACTGACACACCACGTTCTTGCTTACTGATGCCATCCCGTTAGGCCTGCACGGAACTAACTGAGCATCAAGCATCGTCAGCTACCATGGAAGACCCACCTTCGTTCACCCCGGTTTCCCCCACTTCTCAAATCCTCACCGATCTTTGATTTTCTGAACCACGGGGGGCTCCCATCTCAGAAGACCATGACACAGTCTGTTTGGTTTGGTAACCGCGTGTATCTCCTCTCTGGCCCAATCCACACGGGAGAATGAGATTCTTTCTTTCCTATGCCAAACAAACACGGTACTGGGCAAAGCCTATCAACAAATATTTGACCAGCTCCTAATTGATTCCCTGACATCTGTGAGGTTCCTGAGGTTTTTAGTCAATGCCTCTTTCTTGTGAGTAGCTCCTTGAATGGACTAAGTAGTACACTATGTCTTACAAAACGTACTTGGCCCTTCCAGTTTATTTTTAACCCCTAACAAGGCTGGTGTGTCATGGTCTTCAGAGGAGAAACTGTGCAGTGACGGGAGTCAGACCGACCCTTTCAGCAAACCAAGACCTCGGCATGGGCGGCGAGCGGAAGGTGCCCACGGAGGAGGCGGGAAGGAGCACAAACCAGCAGGCCCACTTCTTTCCGGAAAGAGCGCTTAGCTCAGGAGAACGAGAGCTCAATGCACTTTCGTTCCTTCTAGCCTCCTTTCTTTTCAAAACACGTTAAAAGGTATCCGCCTGACGACCTGCCGGCTTTATAGTGTCCATGTTTATGACAAATCCCAGTTTGTACACATTTTTCACTTTTTAAAATAAAATGCGTCACAAGATTTTTAAAAACAAGTCTCTGAAAAGTAAATCCATACGTTCAAATCGCAAACACAAAAGAAGCCCAGAAAAGGAAAGCGAGAAGTCACATGTCTCAGCTTACCGTATGTAGGGGAGAAGGCGAAGTAGTTCAGGTGACAGATATCATAGGCTTTGATGCTGACATCCTTCCAGATGCCCTGGGTCGGGAAGGCAGGGCCCCAGTCCCAGCTAAAGGAACACTGCTCCTGTGATTGCACGAGGGGAAAGGAGGTGAATTCTGATTACCATAAAACTTAAACATTGTTGTTGTTTTTTTGTTTTTTTGTTTTTAAAAAGCCTTTCCTTTTAAAAATAAGTAAAAAAAGGTTTAAAAATGTTTTAAAAGTCAAAATGTTTGCTAGAGCTGCCATAACAAAACAGCATAGATTGGATGGCTTAACCAACAGACATTTGTTTTGTTTTTTTTATAGCTCCAGAATCTATAAGACTCCAAGATCTAGGTGTTGGCAGGGATGGTTTCTTCCGGAGCCCCTCTCCTGGCTCAGACACCGTGCCTTCTCACCGTGCCCTCACACAGTCTTTTTTCGGTGCACATGCACACATCCCTAGTGTCTCTCTGCCTCCAAATTTCCTCTCCTTGAAAGGACCTCATTCATATTGGATTAGAATCTACCCTAATGGTCTCACTTCACTTCTCAGTCGCCTCTTTAAAGACCAGATAGGATTATTTTGAGTCACGGAGGGTTAGGACCTCAATATTTGGGGAGATGAGCACAGAATTAGGGGTGTGTGTGTGTGTGTGTGTGTGTGTGTGTGTGTGTGTGTTGTGTGATATTTGTCTTTCTCAGACTGGTTTATTTCACTTAGCATAATATTTTCCAGGCCCATCCAGGCTGTCCCACAGGATAAGAGGTCCGTCTTTTTCAAAGTTGCTAGTATTCCATAGTGTAAATGTCCCATAGCTTTTTTATTTGTTCATCTACTGATGAGCACTTGGGCTTTCAAATTTTAGCCATTGTAAATAACCTTGCTATTAGCATAGGGGTTCATAGATTTTTTTTTCTGATTAGTGGTTTTTTTTTTGGGGGGGGTGTTTGTTTGTTTGTTTGTTTGTTTGTTTGTTTTGGGGGGGGTTAGGATATATTACCAGAAATAGAATCACTAAGTTAAACAGAAGTTCTATTTTTAATTTTTTGAGGCAACTCACTACTGTTTTCCATAGTGGTTGCACCAATCTGCATTCCCACCAGAAGTGAACTAGTACTAATTTCTATTTCTAATTTTGAAAGCAAAAAAAAATTATTTTCAAAAGACAATTAATTACAATGTGTGAGACATTGAGTTAAGCTTTTAAAAAGGAACAAGCCCCAGAGGAAGTACTAAGATCTTTCTGAACACGGCCTGGGGATTTGGCCAAACTGTTCTCATTTCAGTATTATTTGCTAAGCACTGTATTCATCAGAGACAGAAATCAATTTGTTTCCAAGACAGGGAAAAACAAAGAATTAAAACCATTTCATAGCATTCCTATCTGTTTAAATTCACCACATAAATATCAGATTCTCATGTTCAGAATGAAACCCATCTCTGGGATATTTATTGAAGAGTTTGTAAATTCAGATGTGTAATTTTTTATTAGGAATAGAGAGGAAGAGGAAGGCAAAAACATTCAATAGCTTCTATGGCAGACTATTTTCTCCACTAAGGGCTACAAATCACTTATAGTCATAAAACCTCTCCAAATAAAATTTATTCAAAATATTTGTAAAATATTCACTTATTCAAAAATACTTGTAAAATGCTTTCTGTGAGTTAGGCTGGGCGTACATCGATGTACAAATCAGACACAGTCCTTGTGCTTGTAGTGTCCACAGTACAGCAGGAAATTCCGGCTCTGAATAAATAATCACAAATACAAAGGAAATAGACAGGGAACGAGTGGGAGGAGGAGATATCAAGACAAGATTTTCTGAATAATTGTGATTTTTATATGGAGATTTGAACGGTGGGTCCCACCTGTCCAGTGAGCTCAGAGGAGAGGGAAGTGAAATATCCCCCTCAAAAGTAACAGCACGTGCAAGAGTGTGTGGTACCTTCCAGGAAATGAAGAGAGAACAATGGGAGAGAGGGGAGAAGACTGGAAAAGTGGTTGTGGGCAGACAGAGCTAAAGAGCTCTAGACTGTAGCCTAAAGGCAATGAGAAAAGGTTGAAGAGTTTTTTTGTTGTTGAAGAGTTGTTGTTGTTAATCCTCACCCGATGATGTATTGAGAGAGAGAGAGAGAGAGAGAGAGAGAGAGAGAGAGAGAGAGAGAGAAACATCGATGTGAGAGTAAACGTTGATTGGCTCCTCCCGTACACGCCTCCGCCAGGAATTGAACCTGCAAACTTTTGGTGTGCAGGTGACACTCCAACCAACTGAGCCACCAGCGTAGGGCTAGAAAACCCCTGAAGAATTTTAAGAAGGAAAGTGCTATAATTTTTGTCTGAAAAGAACATTCTGGCTGATGCATGAGAAATTAACTGGAGGAAGGCAAAGGGGGTTGTAGGGATATGAATCAGGTGACCGGGCAATATTTCATGCAAGAAATGATGACACACTAAACTCAAGAATGGCAGTAGAAATGGAGCATGGGCAGATTGAGAGCCACTGAAGAGTTTTAAGTGACATTCGCATCATCAAAGAGACTTAGTTGTGGACTGAAAGAGGGGGAAATGAGAGGGAGGTTTCAAAAATAACTCCTAGGTTTCTGGCCTGAGCAGCTATCCTCTATGGTATTCCATTCAGCAAGACAGGGCACTGTGGGAGAAGGGCTTAGATCTCCAGAGCAGTGCTGGGCACACTGAGCCTTGGGTCCATATGAATCAGCCAAGTGAAGATGCCAAATAGACAGCTGAATATTGGGTCTGGAATTAAAGAGGTCCAGACTGAAAATACAATATTAAGAGTCACTGGAGCCCAGCTGGCATGGCTCAGTGGTTGAGCATCAACTTATGGTTCAATTCCCAGTCAGGGTAGATGCCTGGGTTGCAGGCTCAATCCCCAGAGTGGGGCATGCCGATCAATGATTCTCATCATTGATGTTTCTATCTCTCTCCTCTCCCTTCTCCTCTGAACTCAATAAAAATATTTTTAAATATGTCACTGGAAATTCGATTGGTTATTGAAAACATGAAGAAATAGACTAAGGAGGGTACAAAGTAAAAGGGAAAGTAAGTATCTAGAACAGAGAGAAGACTGCAGAGTAAGACTTTTAAGAGGAAGCTTATCTGGATAAAGAAACTTAGCAGGAATGGCCAGAGATGTAGATGGAAAGCAAGAAGGATGATGTGGAATATTCCAAAGAGGGCAGGTGAGGTGAGAGATTCCCCACCGCCCATGCTGGAGCAGAGATAAGAGGGGACTTACACTGATACAGAGAAAGTAGATGGGTCAAAGAATAGATGCAGAGTACATATCCTCATTATATCCACCCCCACCTCTGTACCATTAACTTTATACACTGAGTGGCCAGATTATTATGATTTCTGAACGCATAATAATCTGGCCACTCAGTAATATATATATATTAGAGGCCTGGTGCATGAATTTGTGCATTGGTGGAGTCCAGCCAGCCTGGCCAGAGGGAAAAGATATGAGTGGTTGACTGGTCTGCCTGCAGGTCGAACACCTGGTCGAGAGGACAATTTGCATATTAGCCTTTTATTATATAGGATGTACACTGAGTGGCCAGATTATTCTGTGTTCAGAGATCATAATAATCTGGCCACTCAGTGTATAAACTAAGTTGAGGCATTTTGTCAGTTACACACTTACAGGTCTGTAATTACAGAAATAAGTCTCCAAAATAAATAATCTTACAATTGGAATAGCTGCACAGCACCTTAGAATATGGAAAGTGCATCTACATTAACATTTCAGAGTATCTTCAGAACAATCAGGAAGGAAGGGAAGGGATTAGCTCCATACACAAATGATGGACTTGCCTAAGATCCCTCTGGGTTTGTAAAGCCAGAATTCAGATTCAAAATGCCTGACCTGGTCTCCACTTCAGGCCTCTGCCCACTGGATCAGGTCAACCTGGCCCAGAAACACCAAGATGCAACTCATTTGCTGACAAGTTGGCCCCAAGTTTAGTTCCACGCACTATGAGAGCAGAAACCTGGGTCTGATTCCTGGTATCAGTGACGAAGGATTTTGTTCTATCTAGTTAACTTGAAAGTGGTTTAAATGCCTCAAAATGATCAGTGGGTAGAAGTAGATATAGATAGAGCATGTAAACTTTTCATGTTAGGATCCAGGAAGTCCTCATTTTGAGAGAAGGTGAAAGATGGAAAAGGAGAGGGGAAAGAGCAAACTTTAGGATCAAAACCGCTGTGCCATCTGAAGCCAAAGGCAAAACACAAACGCTGGTGTTTAAGCAGATGGGTACGTACACAAGTGTTCATGGGATGCCTGACTGCTCGGGCACACTGTCGTCTAGTCACAGCCGTGTGCACTTATGGCCATCGGCACAAACCTGGGTAGGCGGAGTCAAAGAGATGGGGGTATAGTTTTGGCCCTCGTGCCTATCTTAAGGAAAAGGGAGTGAACGGTATGTTATCCAGCCTACAGAGAGCTGCTTAAGGTAACCAATCAAATTTATTAATGGAAGTTCTGGTCAATGAGCCGCTGAAAAAACACGCTTAATATCTTCACACTGAACCCAGTGATTATGTTTGTCGTTCAAATTAAATGCCACTTCATCAAAACATTTAAAGTAGAATTCTCATGGAATGCAGTAATCCCACTTCTGGGTATAGATTTTTAAAAATTGAAAGCAGGGTCTCAAAAGAGATATTTGTATATCCGCACATAGCAACGTTATTCAAAATACCCAAAGGTATTTTGTGGAAGCAATGTCCATTTACAGACAACTGAATAAACAAATTGTGGTCCATACATAACGGAATTTTATCATGCTTTAAAAAGGAAGGAAATTCTGACATGTGCTACAACATGGATGAACCTTGAGAACATTATGGTAAGTGAAATAAGGCAGTCATAAAGCAAATACTGTATGATTCCACTTATATGAGGTACCTAGAAGAGTCAAAGTCACAGAAACACAAAGAATGGTGGGAGTCAGGGGCTGGGAGAAGGGGAAAATGAGTTATTTGTGAATGAGTATAGAGATTCAGTTTTGCATCATGAAACAAGTTCTGGAGATTGGTTTCAAAACTATGTGAATATGCTTTGTACACTTAAAAATTGTTAAGATAGTAAATTATATGTTACATGTATTTTACCACAGTTAAAATAATTTTTAAAAAGCTAAATATCACATAGCATACTAATCCAACCATAAACTAGAATCAATCCAAGTCATCTAGATGGACATCAGACTCAGAGAAAAATCCTCTTATAACTTTTGTTATCTTTTTTTGTATTTTGTTAGAACCTACCAGTAAAATACAAGAACATGTCAGCAAATATATTGCCCTAGCCAGTTTGGCTCAGTGGATAGAGCGTCAGCCTGCGGGCTGAAGTGTCCCAGGTTCAATTCTGGCCACGGGCATATGCCTAGGTTGTGGGCTCCATCCCCCATAGGGAGTCTACAGGAGGCAGCAAATCAATGACCCTCTCTTATCTTTGATGTTTCTCTCTCTCTACCTCTTCCTTCCCCTCTGAAATCAATAAAGAAATATATATATATTAAAAAAAAACACACACACAAATATATTAATATTTTCAGAATGCTCCCTAGTAATAAGAATCACTAATAAATATGAGCCTTACAGTCTGGTGAAGAGTTTAATAAATCTAAATGTTGAAAAATAATTTGTAAAGTTACATTACCAGTCACCTATTTGACTTCTTTTTATAATGTCACCTAAGTTCTGATGCATGCGTCAAGGAAAAAAACTGACAAAGACAAAAATTCTCCACAAAAATTCATATACTCTTTGGGTTCCTTTCCCCCTCCCCCCCCCCCCCAAATCCCACTAAGGGGGCAAAAAAGGTTAAGATTAAGTCTCCCATCCATTTGCAAGACCATTACCTTTCGAATGAAGTTGACATGGCATTCCCCCTTCTGTACGCTGGGCGGGCAGTCTGGGGGCACCTGGTAGCGAATGTGAGCCCCGCTCTGCTGGGCTGCGTACAGCACCGGGGACTGGAAACGCAGCTCAAGGTAGTTTTGGGCTTGGATCACATAAGTCACATCAAAATTCTGAATTAAAAGGAAAGAACTAATGTGGAATCAGCCTCGTGGGTAGCATTTTAGATATAGGCATATGTAAGATAGAAGAAGAGATGCATATAACAACCGAAATCTTTAGAGTGAGCCTTTTTGAAGGAGAAAGCACTTTTCCAAAATAGTCTATCTAAGTGGCCGACTTTGAGCTATCACTGAGTACATTCTCCTGCCCGAACATGGATTTCTAGGTTTCTCCTTCTGTTTTTACTGACAGATGATAGTCCTAGTGAACAGGGCACGTCGAAAATATATTTATCTCTGTATGGTCTGCTCTGGCTATTTGCATATGGCCTTGAACTGTCAAGGATTTCCTAGACGCTTCATGACAGCCTGACTCTTTGCTATAAATAGCATGCATTTCTAAGTCATAAGTTATTTTTGTTTTAGAAAGCCTACTCTTGGAAGGGAAGAGAAATCAAAATATGATCTCATAGTGCCATTATTCCAGAAAGGAAGGAACATTTTCTTTTAAAATGGTGTGTCAATTGTCACTTCCCATGAAGCTCTGGATCACTGAGTGATAGAGAAGGGAACAGCTTTTGTTGAATACTTCCCATGCGTCAAGCACTGTGCCAATCATTTTATACGGTGAGCTTACTACGTCCTCACAACGACTCCATAGGGTCTGCAGTATTTTCATCATCCTACAAATGTGTCAACTGGGAAATAAAGTAACTTACACAGTGCGTCTTGTACCAGCCTGCATGGGCAAATATACACTTACCTTTCTCTACTCATAATAACAATGAATGAACACATACAAGTGGGGGTTTTTGCCTGAGGTTACTTTGTACTTACGTATTTTCTGAACATGTTGTTTGTTCTCCCAATAAGAACATTATTGAAAAAGACCTCTGAAACTGTATCCACGCCCTTAAAAATCAAAATTACTTTTTGCCATTGGCTGAAAAAAAAGAAAAGATTGTTAAAACAAGATGTATAAAACATTAACTTAGATAAGTCCTTTTTTATTAGTTAAGAACTAAAGAGCCCTGACTTGTTTGGCTCAGTGGATAGAGCGTCGGCCTGCGGACTGAAAGGTCCCAGGTTCAATTCCAGTCAAGGGCATATACCTTGGCTGTGGGCACATCCCCAGTAAGAGGTGTGCAGGAGGCAGCTGATCGATGTTTCACTCTCATTGATGTTTTTAACTCTATTCCTCTCCCTTACTCTGTGTAAAAAATCAATAAAATATATTTTTTTTAAAAAAGAACTAAAGGAATTGTTTCACAGAAAATCTACATCCTTCATAATAAGTTTTCACTGAAATCTTCAGAAGTATTAATTTAATACATTTTTATATTGAAGATGCCTATCTTCCTTCATAATATTCCAATCACCATAAAACCATGAGAACAACTTACAATTTCCAAATTCACTTTTTTTCTAGAAAGCTTCACAAAGTTCTTTTAACAACCAAATTAAATATTAGACACAAAACGTTTTCACACACTATTAAATTCACTGACACTATCTAAGAGAACACATTAACCAACTAACCAGTGTCTATGAGTGAACATCATGTGATCAGCACTCTGCTAAGCCTCACGGGAAACTCCATCTCTAAATTTAAGAAGACTGAGATCTGGTTGGCATTCAAGCCTAAAATCAAAGAGAAAACTCTGTGTCTTCTACTTTGTAGTACAGTCTTGTTGGACAGACTACGGTCCTTTTAGAGTTTATGTTATAAGGAAAGACTTTAAGAAGGAAACAAGAACTTAAAGAGGAATAGAATAGAATAAACTGTGGCATATCCACACGATAAAAATCTAATTTGACAATTAGAAGAAACGAAGTACAGCATGTCCTTGAATAATGTCGTTTTGTTCTATGTCATTTCATTATAACATTGAAGGGGGTGGGGAGTATCAATTCCGCCTGAGGCCACCATTGGGCAGAGCGTGCATGTCCTCCCACGCTGTGTGGGTTTTCTCTGGGGACTCTGGTTTCCTCCCACCTCCCAAAGGTGAACGGGTGTCTAGACTGTCCCAGGGTGAGTGCCCTGAGGTGGAAGGGCGCCCCAGCCAGGGTGGGTCCCGCTTGTGCCCTGAGTTGCCTTGAGAGGGACCCTGAACTGAAATTAGTGGTTTGGAAAAATCATGATCTTATTTGTGCTTATTTATCTTTGTTAAATGTATATAGCGCTCCTATTTATCTCAATTTTATGAGGGAAGGCGTGGGGCGGGGCAGGGGGGGGGGGGAGTAGCGAGGGGTTGGGGGGGGGGGAGGGGGCGGGGGCGCGGCCACGGTAAGAGATCAACCAAAGAACTTATATGCATGCATATGACCATAACCCATGGACACAGATGTGGGGGGTGAGGGCATGTGCTGGGGGGTGGGGGCGGCCAGGGAGTGGTCAGTAGGGAGAAAAGGAGACTTATGTAATACTTTCAACAATAAAGAATTTAAAAAATTTTTAAAAGGCAATGACTGGCCTGGCCAGTGTGTTCGATGAGTACCCACCTATGAACCAGGAAGTCACAGTTTGATTCCTGATCAGGGCACATGCCTAAATTGTGGGCTCGATCCTAGAGGAGGGGAGAGGCAGAGCAGGGCACAAGGCAGCCAATCAATAATTCTCTCTCATTATTGATTTTTCTATCTCTCTCTCTCACTCTCCCTTCTTCTTTGAAATCAATTAAAAATAAATAAATAAATACTTTTTTTAAAAAAGGAAGTGACATATTGTTAAGTAAGAGCATGATGGTAAAAATCAGTATTTTGGGAAATGAGTCTACTGTTTCTACATACGAAAGACTGGAAAATAAAAAGAGCAAGCAAAAAATTTAGTTAGGCAGTTTTGGCCTAATCCCAGACACACACTAATAAAGGTATAGGCAAAGGTAGAAACTTGAAAATGAGAGATAAGAGGCTGAATCAAGAGAAATTCTAGGGAAAAACTGACAGGATTCAGAAACAGACTGAATATAAGGGGATGAAGAAAAGGAATGATGAGACAAAAATACCTCAGGCATTGAAGATTGGGAAAATGGGGTTACATTAAGAGAAACAATGAGGCTGTTAGAATACAAAGTAAAATTTAAGTGGGAAAGTCATTTGGCTAAATTCTGGATAAGTTGAGTTGACTGTGAAAGAAGACCCGTAATAGAGGTATTTTAAGCATTATCCTATACTTGAGGCCCAGTGCATGAATTCATGCACTGGTGGGGTCCCTCTGGGTGGCCTGCAGGGATCCAGCCAAAACCTACAGTCCAACACCACCTGCAGCTCCTACCTGCCACTCCTGCTCATCCCAGCCCCACTGTGCCTGCCATGGGCTTGGGCCCAATCAGTCCCAATCAGGAGAGGCTCACCAGTCATAAGCCCTGTGTCTGGCTCCCTCCCAAGGGGAGTGGCCTGTGGGATCTGGCTGAAACTGTGCCTCTCTCAAGAGGGCACAGGCCAGGAGGAAGGGGCCCCACCCGTGCACAATTGGGCCAGGGAGGGACCACAGGAGGGCTCCAAGGCATGTCTGGCCCATCTCACTCAGTCCAGATTGACTGGACCCCAGCAGCAAGCTAATCTACCAGTCGGAGCATCTGCCCCCCTGGTGATCAGTGCATATCATAGCAAGCAGTTGAGCAGCCTTAGAATATCAATAGCAGCTGAAACTGGTTTGGCTCAATGGTAGAGTGTCAGTCTGCAGACTGAAAAGTCCCAGGTTCGATTCCGGTCAAGGTCATGTACATTGGTTGTGGGCACATCCCCAGTAGGGGGTGTGCAAGAGGCAGCTGGACAATGTTTCTCTCTCATCGACTTTTCTAGCTCTCTATCTCTCTCCCTTCCTCTCTGTAAAAAATCAATAAAATATATTTTTTTAAAAAGAATATCAATAGCATATTATACTTTGGTTGTTCTGCCGTTCGGTCTATTTGCATATTACCCTTTTATTATATAGGATAATAAAATCCTAATATTGAAATCAACCCAACAGTGGAATAACTGGTGGCTATGATGTGCATTGACCACCACAGGGCAGATGCTCAACACAGGAGCTGCCTCTTGGTAGTCAATCCACCCCACAGGGGGAACTCCGCTCAGCCAGAAGCCAGGCTCATGGCTGGTGAGTGCGGGAGCCTCTCCCACCTCTGCTGCAGGTGGGTGGTAAGGAGCAAGGGGTCCCGGACTGTGAGAGGATGTCTGACTGCCAGCTTAGGCCCAGCTGGCAGTCAGACATTCCCTGTGGGGTCCTGGATTGCAAGAGGGCACAGGCCAAGCTGAGGGACCCACCCCCTTAAGTGTACCAATTTCATGCATTGGCCTCTAGTCTGGAAATAAGAGCCTGGACCACAGTAACTCTAATATTGAGCACCATATTCTGGCTTTATTTCTCTCTCTCTTTTTTCCGCATTTCTTTCCTTTAAAAAATCTTGCCTCCGCAGACTAGAAATAAACATATAATAATAAAAAATGTTTGATTCCAAATTTCAGTGTCCAACAGTTGTGAGTTTTTATTTCTCTTTTAAAAGACAAGAAAATAATTAGCCAGAAAAGACCTATAAAAGGAACTGAAGCATTTTTTTTTATTTAGCAATAATAGTGATAGATATAATAGGGTTATATTCTGCTTCATAGAACATTACTGAAAACTAGAACATGCTTTTGCTCATGGCCTCATGAGATAATATAACACCAATACAACAGTCTCAATGGCTGTTAATATCACACTCAATAAATGCTGTACCTCTGATCCTACTTGACAATATTATAAATATATATGTTCTATTGATTACGTGAGCAGGGAGGGGAAATGCAGGTAAGGGAATTGACCAGGTTTAAGTGACTTCATTATAACCACAGAAAAAAAATGACTAAGACAATTTATTTTTCTTTTTTTTGTTTTGTTTTGTTTTATTTTGTTAATCCTCACCTGAGGTTATTTTTCCTTGATTTTTACGGAGACTAGAGAGAGAGGGAAAGACAGAGAGAAGCATCAATGTGAGAGAAACACATTGATCATTTGCCTCCTGTAGGAGCCCCAAACCAGGGCCTGGGTTGGGGAGGAGCCTGCAGCTAAGTATGTCCCCTTGACTGGAATTGAACCAGGGACCCTTTGGTCCACAGGCTGATGCTCTATCCACTGAGCCAAACCGGCTGGGGTAATTAGAACATAATTTCATGACTCACAATCCGTGACAACATCCTCATATATAAATCAAAATATAATCATATATTCACTTTTATAGTACAAGGCTTTGGTTGAACAACTCTCTGATACGCTACCTAAAAAACAAGAGGTTAGCCTAGCCAGAGTGGGGTGGTTGAATATCGACTATGAACCAGGAGGTCTCGGTTCGATCCCTGGCAGGAAACAGGCCTGGGTTTCAGGCTTGGATTCAGGCTCTGCCCCAGTAAGAGGTGTGCAGGAGGCAGCCGATCAATTATATTTTTTCTATCTCTCCCTCTCCCTTCCTCTCTGAAATCAATAAAAATACATTTAAAACAACAACAACAAGAGATTATTGCAGAGACAGGGGGGGGAAAAGTTTAAATAATAAATAAATAAATAAATAAAGATTAGATATATAGATATACATTTAATGGCCAAATTATTATGATCTCTGAATGCATAATAATCTGGTCACTCAGTGTATATTCTATATAATAAAAGGCTAATATGCAAATTGTTCCCTCAACCAGGAGTTCGACCAGCAGGCACGCCAGCCAAGCGCCCATGTCCCCTAGGCTGGCCGGACTCCACCCATGCATGAATTCATGCATCAGGCCTCTAATATATATATATAGATAGATAGATAGATAGATAGATAGATAGATAGATATAGATATAGATAGATATAGATATAGATATAGATATAGATATAGATATAGATATAGATATAGATATAGATATAGATATAGATAGATATAGATGATGATATAGATATAGATATAGATATAGATATAGATATAGATAGATAGATAGATAGATAGATAGATAGATAGATATATACACACACACACACACACACACACACTGAGTGGCCAGGTTATTATGCGTTCAGAGATCATAATAATCTGGCCACTCAGTGTACAGATATAGACATACACACATACATACCTAATGTCAAAGGGGATCTGAAATTCCTTGCTATAGGTCCAGTTATCCAAGGAGATCCATCTGTAGTTAAGGTCATTAAATCTGTAGTAAGGATCCTGTTGATAAGAATTATGGTAGATGATTAAATATGCAAAAAATAAATTAATTAAACATGAAATAAATAATTAGCAATAGCTACTTATCACCTAAAAATGAATGAACTCTCGGCTTAGGAGTACAAGCATTTCACATGCCAGCAAATCTCATCCTCAAGGCTAAAGCTCCAACCAGCTAAGAAACAAAGTGGCATCTATATACTAAAAGCACTAAAGTGCGTGTGTGTTTTTCTAGACAGAATTTAGAGGTTAAAACTTTTTCTTATTTAAAAAAAGCCGATCTGAAAAGGCTACCTACTGTTTGAGTCCTACTCCATGTCATTCTAAAACAGACAAAACTGTAAAGACAGTGAAAGGGCCAGCGGTTGCCAGGGATCAGAGGGAAGAAAAGGATGAACAGACAGAGCAGAGCAGAGAGTGAAACTACTCTGAATGGTGCTGCAGTGGTGGATCCATATCATTAAATGAGAACGACAGCCTTTGAGTGACAACGATGCAGTGTCACTGTAGGTTCATTGATAGTAATAAAGGTACCAGCCCTAATGGGGCTGTGCATGTGTGGGAGTGATGGAAATTGTCTGTATTTTCCATTCAATGTTGCTCTGAACCTAAAATTGCTCCAAAAAACAAAAACAAAAAACTGAAGTCTTTTTTTTTTTTTTAACATATTTTATTGATTTTTTAGAGAGAGGAAGAAGAGAGGGATAGAGAGTTAGAAACATCGATGAGAGAGAATCATCGATCAGCTGTCTCTTGCACACCCCCTACTGGGGATGTGCCTGCAACCAAGGTACATGCCCTTGACCAGAATCGAACCTGGGGCCTTTCAGTCCGCAGGCCCTCGCTCTATCCACTAAGCCAAACCTGTTTTGACACTCACACACTCTTATTTCCAAAACAAACATGAGTAGTATGCCATTTCATAGAGGACGGCACTAACGCTCCAAAAGGTGGGGACTTTCCTGAGGTCCATCCAGGAAGGAAACCAACTCAGTCTAACACCAAGGTCCGCATTCTTCCATCCATACGACTGTGCCTCACGCCGCACACACTGACCCTTTACACCAGGTGATCATGCAACAACAGAAGCTGAGAGTTACTGTCAGGGACCCTGTGGGGCAGGTATTACCCTCACTCCTTTATTAAGACTCCAAGGCTCCAAGTCAAATGTGGATTACTGGTGCAGACCCAGCATCGCTGGCTCCAGGCCACATCCTCAGCAATACCTGGCACTGCCATCCATGTCACAAATGCTGTCAGCAATCCCAATGCCTCTGCCACCTACCAAGTGGGAACCAGAAAATAAACAGGCCATGTGGGGCCTGAGCCAGTTATTTATAATTGGTATTTATCACACTTACTATAAATCAACACACTCTGTGTCACCCAACCATGTTCAGTCGCTTCTGAACTACCTCTACCTATATCTGCATATGGACACATAGACTCCTTGGCCAGGAATATCTCTTCTACTCCCCAATTCTGCTTCAGTCCAATGCTTGGTTCTATCCTAGACATAATTACTTCAATGGAGAAAAGAAGAGTTTATAATCATTTCATGTACATACTGTGTTCTTGGGCACAGACAAAAAAAACTAATAAGCCTAGTTTTAAAAAACACTTATTCAAAAAAAGAAAAATTAAACAACATATAACAATGCACCGATATTTGGTAAAACCTTAATTTGTAAAAAGCAAAAGAATGATAATTCAGGATATTGGTGGTGGGATTGGGAGGCGCGAGGTCATTGCAATGGTACTGGGAACGTGCAGGCTCATAAACTAAATAGCAGGCACGTGGGTATTCATGTAAATTAGACTTTAAAATTCATAAACAGACACATGCATATAACTTTCCATGTACTGAGTACTATATAAAAAAGAAAAAGAAATGTCATGGGAAGCTAAGCTACTTTCTTTTTTTAAAAAATATATTTTATTGATTTTTTTTTGCCCCCCTCCCTCCCTCTCATACATACCCTCCCTCCCCAGAGTTTTATGTCCATTGGTTGTACTTATATGCAGGTACACAAGTCCTTCAGTTGATCTATTATCTCCCCCAGATCTCCCTCTCCTCCCCATTGTAATTTGACAGTCTGCCTGTTGCTTTACTGTCTCTATATCTGTCTCTTGGTTCATCAGTTTATAATGTTCTTTATCATCCACAAATGAGTGAGGTCATGTGGTGTTTCTCTTTCATTGATTGGCTTATTTCACTCAGCATGATGTTCTCCAATTCCATCCAGGTTGCTGCAAATGATGAGAATTCCTTCTTTTTTATGGCAGCATAGTATTCCATTGTGTAGATGTACCATGGATCCAATCATCTGCTGACGGGCACCTAGGCTGTTTCCAAATTCTGGCTATTGTAGATTGTGCTGCTATGAACATAGGGGTGCATATATCCTTTCTGATTGGTGTTTCTAGTTTCTTGGGATATATTCCTAGGAGTGGGATTACTGGGTCAAATGGGAGTTCCATTTTCAGTTTTTTGAGGAAACTCCACACTGTTCTCCACAGTGGTTGCACCAGTCTGCATTCCCACCAGCAGTGCACAAGGGTTCCTTTTTCTCCACAACCTCGCCAACACTTGTCGTTTGTTGATTTGTTGATGTTGGCCATTCTGACAGGTGTGAGATGGTACCGCATTGTTGTTTTGATTTGCATCTCTCGGACAATTAGTGACTTTGAGCATGTTTTCATGTGCCTTTTGGCCTTCCTTCTGTCTTCTTTTGAAAATATTCTATTTAGGTCCATTGCCCATTTTTTAATTGGATCATTCATCTTCCTTTTATTTAGTTGTATAAGCTGTCTGTAAATGTTGGAGGTTAAACCTTTATCAGTGGTATTATTTGCAAATATGTTCTCCCACACCGTGGGCTTTCTTGTTGTTTTGTTGATGGTTTCTTTTGCTGTAAAAAAGCTTTTTATTTTGATGTAGTCTCATTTGTTTATTTTCTCTGTAGCTTCTATTGCCCTAGGGGAAGTATCAGTGAAGTTCTTTTTGCATACATCTGAGATTTTGCTGCCTGTGGATGCTTCTAGTATTTTTATGGTTTCCCGTCTATTGTCAAAATGAGCTTCAGCCAAAACCTGTTTGGCTCAATGGTAGAGTGTCAGTCTGTGGATTGAAAGGTCCCAGGTTCGATTCCGGTCAAGGGCATGTACATTGGTTGTGGCACATCCCCGGTGCGGGGTGTGCAGGAGGCAGCTGGTCGATGATTCTCTCTCATCGATGTTTCTGGCTCTCTATCCATTTCTCTTCCTCTTTGTGAAAAATCAATAAAATATATATGTAAAAATATATATATGAGCCTCAGCTACAATTCTTACTTCAGAGAATGCACATAGGTAAAAGAGATCTCAAGCTCATGAGTCATCAAAACATTTTAGTGAGCCCTAGCTGGTTTGGCCCAATGGCTAGAGCATCAGCCTGCACACCCAAAGGTTCCAGGTTTGATTCCAGTCAAGGGCACATGCCTGGGTTGCAGGCTTGGTCCAACATGCAGGAGGCAGCCAATCAATGATTGCCACTCATCATTGATGTTTCTATCTCTCTTCCTCTCTGAAATAAATAAAAATATTTTTTTTAAAAAACATGTTAGTGAACTTAATATTTTTTTTTCTAAAATGCTTAAACTACTAAATAGCGCTTATCAAATAATATATCTCTAGGTGAAAAGGGGTTACAATGTAAAGACATTTCTTATTTTATGACCAATGAAGATTTAAAGGAGGAATTTAAAAGAGGTAACAAGGCAGTTTTCTTAGCCCACTCCTAAGGGCCAGACTCATGAAAGTTTAGGATATGCCTTAACCAGTTTGACTCAGTGGATTGAGCGTCGGCCTGCGGACTCAAGGGTACCAGGTTCGATTCCAGTAAAGGGCATGTACCTTGGTTGCAGGCACATCCCCAGTAGGGAGTGTGCAGGAGGCAGCTGATCGATGTTTCTCTCTCATCGATGTTTCAAACTCTCTATCCCTCTCTTTTCCTCTATGTAAAAAAAAAAATCAATAAAATATATATATTTTTTAAAAGTTTAGGACAGATGCCTGAAGAGAGATTCATGATTGCTATGAAAAATCAAAGGAGAAAGATCCAATCACACTTGCTCTCAGAGTGAAGACGGGCAAGGAAACAGACCCACAGCCATAGTTGCTGCCTCTGAGATGGGGTGGGTTGGTGAGAACTCAGTGAGGAGGCCTGGCCAGGTGGCTCAGTAGGTAGGAGCACCTTCGGTACCCCACAGGGTATGGTTTGGTTCCTGGTCAGGGCACACGCCTGGAAGGCCAGTTTATTTCCTAGCTGGGGCTCCTTCGGGAGGCAACCAATCGCTATTTCTCCCTCACATTGATGTTTCTCTCTCTCCCTTCCTCTCTCTAAAATCAATAAATATATAATTGTTGAGGATTTTTTAAAAAATACACAAAATCAAACAAAATAAGGGAGATACAGAAAGATGTTCACCATATATTTTGAATGACGAAATTACAAAACTATCTTAAAGATTTATTTCATCTTTATATTATTGGATTTCTTTGAGTATACTTAGAAAAATTTAGAAAGATATACATTAAAAAATTTACAGTGATTACCTCTGCTTTATAGTATGCTTTTTTATTGGCCTTCTCCCTTCCTTATATTTTATATTTTTCTGTACCAGTTTTTTGTACAATAAGCATTAAATATTTATAATTGTTTGTAAAGAATTTACAGAGAGAGAATAAGAAAATAATATCATGAATTTCATGCATGATAAAAGTAACCATATATATATATATATATATATATATATATATATATATATATATAAAAGGCTAATATGCAAAGTGTCCCTCTGACCATCCAACCGGTCTCTATGACATGTAATGACCATGAGGGGGCAGTCGTTCAATGCAGAAACTGCCATGACGCACATTGGCCATTTACAAAAATACAGTACCACGAACCTGGTGCTGATAAAGCAACACTGAGCTTCCCCCAAGTGGAACACAGGCCC